TAGGTCAAGCGCGTGTTCGACCCAGTATGGAAGGTGTTGTAAGTCTGCGGGTGTAGCCATAGCATTCACTAGTAGCCAGATAGTGTGAGAAAGTGTTGTAAGTCTGCGGGTGTACCCGTATCATTCACTAGCAGCCATATAGTGTGAGAAAGTGTTGTAAGTTTGCGGGTGTAGCCGTAACATTCACTAGTAGCCAGATAGTGTGATAAAGTGTTGTAAGTCTGCAGGTGTAGCCGTAGCATTCACTAGCAGCCAGATAATGTGAGAAAATGTTGTAAGTCTGCGAGTGTAGCCGTAGCATTCACTAGTAGCCAGATAGTGCTAGAGTGTTGTAAGTCTGCGGGTGTAGCCGTAGCATTCACAAGATTGGCAGATAGTGCTAGAGTGTTGTAAGTCTGCGGGTGTAGTCGTAGCATTCACTAGGTTAGTAGATAGCATGAGGGTGTTGTTAGAACGCGGAAGGAACAGTGGTACCCACCAGTTCGGGTGAAACAGTTAGGGTGTGGCAAATTCACAGATTGGTTTATCGATTTTCCCAGATGAATTAGACCGTTTGAGCCATTGATAAGACCGTAGGAACGCCACTACAGTTATGAGATCAGGGAAGCAATGGACCGTATGAGGTCGTTTGTGATATAAGGCTACCATTGGTTAGGTAGCAATCACTTTTAGCTTTGGACTGGTGACGTCAGGACTCGACGTATGGACCCGATCGGTTAGGTCAGGAGGTTGTTAGAGCCATAGTGGTAAGATACCTAATGATAATTATTGACAGACAAGGATTACGTTCGGAAGTCACGTGGGCGACTGTGAGATTGCTCTTGGCTTAGCAACCGGGTAGGACTTCAGCATATCAGATAAGATGGAATCAGGGAGATTTCGGTGGATTTTGAGAAGCAGCCATGTGGCCGCATACTGTTTCAGGAAGTTCAGTGTTTCAGGCAGATCAGTGCTTCGGACAGTTTTGGGTCTCAAGTAATAATGGTATTTTAGGATCTCATGTACGGACGGAGTAACGAGTCGATTGGGAAGTGATGAGTCATTCACAGCGGGATTATCTGAGCCTTGGCCAAGTATAAGTAAATTGCAGAGATAAGTGGATCTGTGATTATGTTTTCTAGTGGGAACCTCGAGTTATCAGAAGTTGAGTAGGCAGCTAAGAGACAAGTGGACTAGATTCAACGATAATGATTCAGTATGGCCGGTCTGTCAGGGATTCAGACCATCTCGAGACAACAGATTTCAGACGGAGTAGATGCGATCTTGTTGCAATGAATTCATTTATCTGCGGATTTGAGAACCCTGCGAGGGTTGGTCACGGGTACCCTGAGAAGGCTAGGGTGTGCCCAGGATTGTGGTCAGGCTACTTGAGTGGTTTGGCATGTAAGGAATGGTAAGGAATGATTTCGAGGACGAAATCTAATTTAACTGGGGGAGAGTTGTAACACCCCGTTTATTAAATAAATAAATGAACAAATTAATGGATGAATACTAGCCCTAAAATCAATAATTATATAGCAAGGTGTTGGTCTTGAGGAGTTAATTGCTACAATTATAGAAGTTGGGGGTTAAAAGTGTAAGTTTCGGAGTGGTTTGTAAATATTTATGAAGGCAGAGACTGCTTGGTAAATTATTGGGGCTTAATTTGAATAGATTTTTGGGAAACAATGGCTAACTAGTAAATTCCGGATTCAATTTGTAAATATTTCTGAGGGCAGGGGGCTATTTGGTAAGTTTTAGACCTAAAATGAAAGGAATTTATGGAATCAGGGGCTAAAGGGTAATTTCTAGACTTAAAGTGGAAATTATTTATGGAGGAGGGACCAAAAGTGTCATATGTATATATAAGTTTGGGAGTGGAGACGGGGTTTAAACCCGTCAACCCCTCCTACCCTGCTCGTCGCATGCTTATGGGAAGAAACCCTAACCCTAGTGTATTCTACAGCCGCCTCCACCTTATTTCCCCACCCTAGCGCTATCGTTCCCTTCGTTGAGCCACTATCGCCACTACTCTTCTTTTGGCGACGATCAGCGCTGCAAGGGAAGCCTCTGAGGCCGGAACATCGGCGAGCAATCACTGCCATCATCCCTTCGCCACCTTTCTTCTCCTTCTCACTTATGTCGCTGTTGTTGTTCGCAAGTCGCTGCTTCTCCTTCTCCATTCTTCGGTACAACGTTCCAGCCGTCGCCGCTAACCGCTAGTACTGTTACATCGCCACCATCGTTGCATCTTCAGCTGGAAAGAACTAAGTCTGATGGGAAGGAGCGATTAGATTGTGGGAGAAGCCGGAAGAGCTGAACGTTGCTGCTGTCATCGGAAACCGTCGTTGCTGCTGCCGTAAGCACCGCTGTTGCCACCGTTTTGTGTTGTTGTTGCCACCGTGTGCCACGAGGTGGGTGGCTGGGGTCTTTTTGTGAACAGATAGAGTGTGTGTGTTTATTTTAGTAAAGTTGTGTTGGGTTGTTTGGCCGGAATTCCCAAGAACAGCCACCACCACCACCGTGAGATGGTGGCTGCCACCATCTACCACCACCGGCCACCAGAAGGTGGTTGTGTGTGTGTGTGTTTAGCTTAGTGGGTGTGTGTGTTATTGGTAATTCGCTTTTTATGTTGTAATCTGTAATGGAATAATCAAGGAATACTCGAAACCACCACCGTAGGGTGGTGGCTGCCGCCACCGGCCACTGTGTCGGGTGACGGTGTGCTTAGTTTGTGATTGGATTGCTTTTGGAGTGCTTCGACTCGATTGGACTAGAACCCTAACCACCACCCTAAGGTCGTGGCCGCCGCCGTGAGCCGCCGTTGACCACCACTACCCAAGGTGGTAGATGGTGGTGCCCAACTTGTGAAACCCTAGTGGGCCTAATGAAACCCTAATGGGCTTAAAGATTCAGTTTTGGGCCTAATGGGATATGATTGGGTGGGAAACCCTAATTAGGGTTTAGAAAACCCGAATTTTGGATATATGGGCCTTGGACTTATTGGGACCCACATTTGGGCCATTGGAATGGAATTGTGAATTACACCCAATCACACCATATGAGTTATCTAGTAGAGTGAGGGACTTAATGGATTAAGTCCTTAATGGGTTAAGTGAGAAACACTTAACCCTAATTGTCATTTTATGTGAAACCCTAATTTCACTTGGGCCTTGAGTTGGGCCTTTCTATTGGGTTTTAGTAATTAGGCCAATAATGGGCCATCCAAGAATGATCATATGGACTAGAATATTTAGATGGGCTTTAGTGTAAGGCCCGTATGAGGGTTTGGCCCCAATTTGGAAAATTAGGCCATACATGGGCCATAGTTTGGGCCTTGATGGTTATATGATATTGAGCCATCAGAATGTCAAGTGTTGGACCAAGAATAAATGGTTGGGCCTTAAGGCAAGACCATGTAGACGTTTGGCACAATTTGGAAAATTAGGCCATAATTGGGCCTTGGTTCATTATTAGACTTTTGGGCCTTTAGATTGGGCCTTGGGCTTGAGTCAAGCTAAGTTAGGGGTAAAGTAGTCTTTTACTCCAAGCATGGATTTATGGATATGTGTTGGAACCCAATCATTAATTGGGTGTTATTTTGATGTTGACAGATTCGGGAATCTGTCATCCAGCAGCTAGGATTTTGTCAGCGGGACTTTAGTAGTGTGAGGTGAGTTCTCTTCCAGTAGGAACGGGTCTAAGGCCACAATGTCGGCCCGTTTAGTTGTTAGTAGTTCACGACTACGGTCCGATGTCGGGGCGGTCCCGAGAAGAGTATATGTATGCTTGATGTCTTTGTGATTCACGCATGTTATGTGTTATGTGTTCCGGGGCAAGCCTGGTATCGGGGCAAGCCCGATGTATGTTAGTGTATCTGTTATATGTTATGTGTTCCGGGGTAAGCCCGATGTTGGGGCAAGCCCGATGTATGTTAGTGTATCTGTTATATGTTATGTGTTCCGGGGTAAGCCTGAATTTCTGTCTCTAATATACTTGTGTGTTTTTTTAATTTCTTAGAGAACTTATTAGGAATTGTGCATTATGGATGCAAATGGATCTAGTATTCCCCACTACCTGTGGGAACCCAACCAGAATAAATCGGGGATTCACCACCGTGGCATGTAATGGATCAGGGATGGGGCTATTATAGGGCTGTGTGTGATAGTATTATTTTCGGTGAATAGTTTTTTATGTGGGTACCCATGCAATGTGGTGAGGATGGTGAATAATACATATGGATCACATAAGTGAATCAAATCAACTCCCAAAATCAATAAAACTATAATCACTTCCCGTAATCAATAATGCTAGAATATATGGAACAAATTTCCCACAATAAACCCTATCAACACCTTAGGAGAAAGAACTGCAGTCGAAGGAGATCGCCCGATCATCGAAATCTACGGCTATGATAATTATAACATTTCTAATTTTATGTAATTATTACTTTTTATATAAATTAAAAAGTTTCAAGCATTGTTCTGTTACTTTTTGCAATAGATATTGTTTATTTTTAAAAAAGATAATTTATATATTTTTGATTTCCTTATATATTATATCATAATTTTGTTATTTATATATATACTAATTTTGAAGTACATGTTGAACAGTTCTGACTTCTTATTGGTTGCTGAAAAAAAAATTTCCTTTTTAATTTCTTTTGTTGTCTGATTTGGTTATTAAATTATTTGGTTATTAAATTAGATGGTGGATTACAGATGTCTTTGTTTCTTAAACTCCCACCGCTTCTACATCTCTCTTTAGGTGATAGTGGATTACACATGGCTTCATTTGTTAAACTCCTTTCTACGTGTTTCTTTTCGTTGTCGTTCGTTTTTGCCACTTCCACTTCCCCCCCCCCCTACCTTCTGTATCGCTCTTTTCTTTTGTTCTTCTCAGGAGGATCGTCGGCTTTCTTTGCAGGTTTGTACTCACGCATCTTCTTCCGTTTCTGTTTATTGGTGTTGTTTCTTTGCATTTTGCTTTCCATTGTATATGTTCATGTTTCAAATTGTAAAATGCCAAGGCGGAACTCTGTTTATACTAGCCCTTCTTCGTCTTCCTCTGCTCATGGTTCCCTTCCCAGATCGAATTGTAAAATGCCTAAGCGGAAATTTGCTTATACGGCGCCTTCTTCGTCTTCCTCTGCTCATGGTTTCCTTCCCAAATCGGCTAGAATGGAAGGATTGAAGGTTCTTCCTCTTCCTCTTACGTTGGAAATTGGGGATTGTAACTGCGTCTGTCAATTTTGTGGTGCTGTTTTTTGGTTTGCTGAAAGAAATATAGCCGGCTCAACTGCTAATCGGCCGGTGTACACTCAATGCTGTAAGTCTGGTACCGTTATCCTCCCTTACCCTTTCCCCCCACCTCCTGAAATTCGATCCCTTTATTTAAACAGTCGCTTCATGGCTGACATCAGGGCATACAACAGTATGTTCTCTATGACTTCTTTTGGGGCTGATGTCGATGAAGCAGTTAATGATGGTCGTGGACCATATGTTTTTAAAGTCTCTGGTCAAATCTACCACTCGATTGGGTCCCTGTGCAAAAAAACTCACTGTCAACATGTATTACAGCTATCAGATACATCCGCGTCAGTATATATACTCACATGTCTTGGAATCAGGGCGCCTCTTCCAGCAATATCTGGTCGACGCATATACCTGTGTTGAGGCAGATCGGTTGGAATACATTCTGCATCATCAAGAACAGCTAAGGTCAGATTATGTGAGTGGTTTATATGATGCACTATCGAAGGGCGATAGGGACAGTAAAGTGGTGGGTAAACGTGTTTATTTACCTGCATCCTTTGTTGGTGGTCCCCGTTACATGTACAAACATTACCAAGATGCACTAGCTATTTGCAGGGTGTATGGTAATCCACAGTTTTTCATTACTTTCACATGTAACAGTAAGTGGCCAGAGATCCAACGCTTTATGGATCTTCATCAGCAGCGTGATGTTCACAGTAGAGCTGACATTATTTCACGTGTCTTCCAAATAAAAATTGACGCCTTTATCAGGTTTATGAAGGAAGACAAGACCTTTGGTGATGTCATTGGATGTAAGTGTCTATTCAGTTGTTCACTGCATCGTACATTCATTTATTTATCCTTCCTTTCTACCATATATGTGTACTCAGATTTCAATAGAATTGCCTTCCACATTGTCATACATTGTTATGGACACATCTGCAGATAGGATAAAAGAACCGGCTGACATTGATAGGTATATAACTGCAGAGTTGCCTGATCCTTTATTAGAAAGAGAACTGTATGATGTAATAACAAACTGCATGATTCATGGTCCTTGTGGATTATTAAATAAGTCTGCACCATGTATGAAGAACGATAATTGCAGCAAGAAGTATCCAAAACCATTACAAAAGAGCACTTTCTTTGACAAAAATGGGTATGCCTGTTACAAAAGAAACAGTGAGTCACGTCACACAATGGGAAACGGGATCGTCATTGACAATGGTTATGTTGTACCATACAACAAAAGATTATTTTCCCGGTTTAGAGTGCATATAAATGTGGAATATTGTGGTTGGAACATGATGGTAAAATACCTTTTCAAATACATATCAAAAGGCGTCAAACGCATCAGATTCACAGTTCAGAAAAATGAGGCTTCTGCAGAGACCACTTCCGCTCATGACATCCGCCCAATTAACGAGGTAAATGCCTTCCTTGATGGCCGGTTTGTTTGTCCTCATGAGGCTGCATGGAGGATTCTGAATTTCGATATACATGTCCGACGTCCACCCTTAATGACATTACCTGTCCATTTGCCTCATATGCAAAATGTCATCTTTAGAGCTGATATGCCACTACACCGTGTGCTTAGTAATCCGTCCCTCGGAAGAACACCACTTGTAGGATGGTTCGACAGTAATGCACGTGACCTTACGGGACATGATCTAACCTACATGGACTATCCAAAAGAATATAAATGGGATTTAGATTCAAAAGAATGGTCACCAAGGGTTTATGAATCTTCAACAGCAATCGGTAGGCTGCTTTTTGTGCATCCATCTTCAGGCGAACTGTTCTATCTACGGATGTTGCTATGCCACCAAAAAGGATGTACATCATATGAAGATGTTCGGACAGTATCAGGCGTCTTACATCCAACTTTCCGTGATGCATGTAACGTTCTTGGTTTGATAGGAGATGATATTGAATGGATGGCTGCGTTTAATGAAGCGTCATCTTGGGGCACTTCCGCTCAGCTACGTTCTCTTTTCTGTCATCTTCTTTTATTTTGTGAGGTCACCAATCCAGTCTCACTGTGGGAAGCTGCATATGATAAAATGGTGGATGATTATGTACATAGAGTTCATGTAGAATTTCCAGATAGCAGCCTTGATGTACATTCTGATATAATTCAGCAACAGCTTCTTCTGGATCTAGAGAACATCCTCCGATCAAGTACTCCAAGTCGATCATTGGCTGACTTCAGGCTATCCACTCCATTAGCTTCTTCCACAAATGTCCTGACCAACCGTCTTCTGCTGGAAGAAAACATGTATGACAAAGAAGATCTATATAGACAAAATCTCCAAATGGTGTCACGGCTAAACAAACAGCAACTGGCTGTCTACCATGCAGTTCTTACTTCACATGAGATGAAAAAACAATGTCTACTTTTTGTCTATGGACATGGAGGTACTGGCAAAACCTTCTTATGGACTGTTATTATCTCATATTTCAGATCACTAGGGAAGGTTGTTCTTGCTGTCGCAGCTTCTGGAATAGCCTCACTTCTGCTCCCATGTGGTCGGACATCCCACTCAAGGTTTAAAATACCTATTGACTTATCTGAAAAAAAATCATGTGACATTAAAAAGAAGACATCACTTGCAGAATTTCTACAACATACCTCACTAATTATTTGGGATGAAGCACCAATGAGTGATCGACGTTGTTTTGAATGTGTCGACCGCTCACTTCGTGACATTCTTGACTGTGATGATAAAGCGTTTGGTGGTGTTTCTGTTCTTCTTGGATGAGACTTTAGACAAACATTACCTGTAAAGTCAAAGAGTACACGCGAAGCCATCATCTCTTCAATATTGCCTCATTCTTATCTGTGGACATCCTTTAAGGTTTACAGGCTAACTGATAATATGAGGCTGATGAATGCAACTGCTGCTCCTGCTTGCCAGTTCTCTACGTCGGATTTCGCAGAATGGATACTTAAAGTTGGTAATGGGACTATAGGTGAACCTGACAAAGAAGACCCAACAAATTCATTTTGGATAAAGATACCAGACCATCTTTTAATTCCTCCTTCAAAGAACTCAGTGCAGCTTATGATAGACTTTGTTTATGGGGATGGTGTCCTTCACAACGCATCTGCTATTGATCTTTCGGATAGAGCAATTGTATGCCCCACAAATGAGGCTGCTGACAAAATTAACGAACACATTGTCCAAATGACAGGTAACGTTCACAGGATTTGTAGGAGCACAGACACAATGCAACCTAATGGTAAATACACGTCAGAATTAGAAGGTTTATATCCAATAGAATTTCTAAACCAGCTGCATTTGCTAACATCCCTGCACATTTGCTTACCTTAAAACCAAAGATCCCCATTATTTTGATGAGAAACATTAGTCAGAAGGATGGTCTTTGTAATGGTACCCGACTTATAGTATCCCACTTACTTCCATCGGTCATAGAAGAACTTTCATAACAGGCACGTGTATTGGGAAACAAGTATACATCCCCCGTATCAAATTCATTCACAATCCACCAGACCTACCTTTTTCATTTGCAAGAAAACAATTGCCAATTAAAGTGTGTTATGCCATGACAATAAACAAAAGCCAAGGACAGTCACTTAAGAAAATTGGAGTCTATCTGCCACAACATGTTTTCACACATGGTCAGCTTTATGTTGCTTTGTCTAGGGCAACATCTCCAGACTCGATCAAAGTCCTCATAAACAATGATGACAATAATGTCCATAATCTGACAAAAAATGTAGTTTTCAGAGATTTGCTGTCTAAAGTATAAATTTGTAATCATAATATAATGGAAAAGTAAATAACTTTTTTTTTCTTGCTTAACTAATTCCATAGCCAATAATATTATCTTTTATATACTTTTTGCTTTACTTTATTAATTTTTTTTTACCTGTTTACTCCGTTGTTACGAGTTACAAATTATGTAATTCTTTCTAACAACAAGTGTTAACTGTATATTAGTTGAACTATTGAATACAAGATGACAGCCATTTCAGAACTCAAATATGGTTGTATTGGAGGACCATTACAAGTACGGATACTACGGAAATGGAAACCAGATAACCGCCGCCATGAAACATGGTATCTGGCAGTCGACAAATTTGTAAGCTGTTCTTATTTAACTTTGTGTTTGTTCTCTGTTTCTGTAAAGGATTTTTTTATCAGAACTAACTAGCATCACATGTCAATAACCGTATTAGGGAGACGCCATTCAGATATTAGGCCAACGAACCAACCAGGGTTATATAGAGTCTATACTCACACTCTCTGACTGTTTTACCATTGATGAATATACATGTCCTCTGTTGGATCAATATCAAAAAATGTTAGAACAGGATTTCTACATAGATGTTGGGATTGCATCCACGATCCAACCAATGCCTAACACATCTATCCTTCCAACAAGTTGGTTTCGTTTCCTACCAAAAAAACAAATTCTAGAGTTGGGAGAAAACCCACCATATTGTCCAGGTACCTCATGAAATCTACAATCATTGTTGTCGCAATTTTACATTTTTTTTTTATGTATATCTCTATTTTTTCCTCTTTCCTATCATTGCTTCAAAAACATTCACATTAAATTGTGTAGATAACATCACAGTTCTTCTCTTTTGAATATATGTTTCTCACACCTACAGATTTCATTGGAGTCATCACCAAAGTGAAGGATTGCAACAAAAAAGATGGAGAGCCTTTTCTATTGCTGGTCTTAGCTGATGAAAAGTAATGCCACAATAAAAATATTGTATATATATATATATATATACATGTTCTTAAATCCTCTAATTAGTCTTCATTGTGTATATCAAATTCAGTGGTGATGAACTTGCAATTAATCTTTGGAAAGAATGCACCAAATGTCCAGAGAAGTTTGATCGTCAAAAATTACTGCCTCTCCCTGTAACAACAGTTGTTGCGGTTACCAACCTAAAGGCTTCCAGAACTGACTGTATTATTTCTTGAACAGTTCTGACCTCTTATTGGTTGCTGAAATTTTTTTTTTCCTTTTTTTTTTCTTCTGTTGTTGTCTTATTTGGTTATTAAATTATTTGGTTATTAAATTAGATGGTGGATTACAGATGTCTTTGTTTCTTAAACTCCCACCGCTTCTACATCTCTCTTTAGGTGATAGTGGATTACACATGGCTTCATTTGTTAAACTCCTTTCTACGTGTTTCTTTTCGTTGTCGTTCGTTTTTGCCACTTCCACTTCCCCCTACCTTCTGTATCGCTCTTTTCTTTTGTTCTTCTCAGGAGGATCGTCGGCTTTCTTTGCAGGTTTGTACTCATGCATCTTCTTCCGTTTCTGTTTATTGGTGTTGTTTCTTTGCATTTTGCTTTCCATTGTATATGTTCATGTTTCAAATTGTAAAATGCCAAGGCGGAACTATGTTTATACTAGCCCTTCTTCGTCTTCCTCTGCTCATGGTTCCCTTCCCAGATCGAATTGTAAAATGCCTAAGCGGAAATTTGCTTATACGGCGCCTTCTTCGTCTTCCTCTGCTCATGGTTTCCTTCCCAAATCGGCTAGAATGGAAGGATTGAAGGTTCTTCCTCTTCCTCTTACGTTGGACATTGGGGATTGTAACTGCGTCTGTCAATTTTGTGGTGCTGTTTTTTGGTTTGCTGAAAGAAATATAGCCGGATCAACTGCTAATCGGCCGGTGTACACTCAATGTTGTAAGTCTGGTACCGTTATCCTCCCTTACCCTTTCCCCCCACCTCCTGAAATTCGATCCCTTTATTTAAACAGTCGCTTCATGGCTGATATCAGGGCATACAACAATATGTTCTCTATGACTTCTTTTGGGGCTGATGTCGATGAAGCGGTTAATGATGGTCGTGGACCATATGTTTTTAAAGTCTCTGGTCAAATCTACCACTCGATTGGGTCCCTATGTCCTGAAGATAATAACGACCCTAGATTCTTGCAATTATACACTTATGACACTGACAATGAAGCTTCCAACAGACTTAATGTCTTTCCTTCTGTTAAAAAGAAAGACTTGGACATTGAGACAGTTAAAGTTCTTATAGGATATTTAACAGCACACAATGAGTACATACGTACTTTCAAAACATCCAAACAGATTGCTGATGAAATGGGATTACAATCTTACTCTGTCTGCTTATATAGTGACCTCCCTGATCGTAGATATACTGTTCCAGCTCCGGGTAGCCTAGGGTGTATGATCATAGGTGATGAAAATATTTGTGGAAAATATGATATTGTTGTCCAATCAAAAGGTGGTAATGCTCAGCGTGTTAGTAAATTACATCCGAGTTATATGCCCCTACAATACCCTTTGTTGTTTCCATATGGAGAGGATGGTTGGTCACCACGTTTAAAGCTTCAAAACAAAATCGGTTCCTGTGCAAAAAAACTCATTGTCAACATGTATTACAGCTATCAGATACATCCGCGTCAGCATATATACTCACATGTCTTGGAATCAGGGCGCCTCTTCCAGCAATATCTGGTCGACGCATATACCTGTGTTGAGGCAGATCGGTTGGAATACATTCTGCATCATCAAGAACAGCTAAGGTCAGATTATGTGAGTGGTTTATATGATGCACTATCGAAGGGCGATAGGGACAGTAAAGTGGTGGGTAAACGTGTTTATTTACCTGCATCCTTTGTTGGTGGTCCCCGTTACATGTACAAACATTACCAAGATGCACTAGCTATTTGCAGGGTGTATGGTAATCCACAGTTTTTCATTACTTTCACATGTAACAGTAAGTGGCCAGAGATCCAACGCTTTATGGATCTTCATCAGCAGCGTGATGTTCACAGTAGAGCTGACATTATTTCACGTGTCTTCCAAATAAAAATTGATGCCTTTATCAGGTTTATGAAGGAAGACAAGACCTTTGGTGATGTCATTGGATGTAAGTGTCTATTCAGTTGTTCACTGCATCGTACATTCATTTATTTATACCTTCCTTTCTACCATATAGTTGTTTCTGTAATCTGACACGTCCATTTCATGTGTACTCAGATCTATACACAATAGAATTCCAAAAAAGAGGCCTTCCACATTGTCATACATTGTTATGGACATCATCTGCAGATAGGATAAAAGAACCGGCTGACATTGATAGGTATATAACTGCAGAGTTGCCTGATCCTTTATTAGAAAGAGAACTGTATGATGTAATAACAAACTGCATGATTCATGGTCCTTGTGGATTATTAAATAAGTCTGCACCATGTATGAAGAACGATAATTGCAGCAAGAAGTATCCAAAACCATTCCAAAAGAGCACTTTCTTTGACAAAAATGGGTATGCCTGTTACAAAAGAAACAGTGAGTCACGTCACACAATGGGAAACGGGATCGTCATTGACAATGGTTATGTTGTACCATACAACAAAAGATTATCTTCCCGGTTTAGAGCGCATATAAATGTGGAATATTATGGTTGGAACATGATGGTAAAATACCTTTTCAAATACATATCAAAAGGCGTCGAACGCATCAGATTCACAGTTCAGAAAAATGAGGCTTCTGTAGAGACCACTTCCGCTCATGACATCCGCCCAATTAACGAGGTAAATGCCTTCCTTGATGGCCGGTTTGTTTGTCCTCATGAGGCTGCATGGAGGATTCTGAATTTCGATATACATGTCCGACGTCCACCTGTAATGACACTGCCTGTCCATTTGCCTCATATGCAAAATGTCATCTTTAGAGCTGATATGCCACTACACCGTGTGCTTAGTAATCCGTCCCTCGGAAGAACACCACTTCTAGGATGGTTCGACAGTAATGCACGTGACCCTACGGGACATGATCTAACCTACATGGACTATCCAAAAGAATATAAATGGGATTCAGATTCAAAAGAATGGTCACCAAGGGTTTATGAATCTTCAACAGCAATCGGTAGGCTGCTTTTTGTGCATCCATCTTCAGGCGAACTATTCTATCTACGGATGTCGTTGTGCCACCAAAAAGGATGTACATCATATGAAGATGTTCGGAAAGTATCAGGCGTTTTACATCCAACTTTCCGTGATGCATGTAACGTTCTTGGTTTGATAGGAGATGATATTGAATGGATGGCTGCGTTTAATGAAGCGTCATCTTGGGGCACTTCCGCTCAGCTACGGTCTCTTTTCTGTCATCTTCTTTTATTTTGTGAGGTCACCAATCCAGTCTCACTGTGGGAAGCTGCATATGATAAAATGGTGGATGATTATGTACATAGAGTTCATGTAGAATTTCCAGATAGCAGCCTTGATGTACATTCTGATATAATTCAGCAACAGCTTCTTCTGGATCTAGAGAACATCCTCCGATCAAGTACTCCAAGTCGATCATTGGCTGACTTCAGGCTATCCACTCCATTAGCTTCTTCCACAAATGTTCTGACCAACCGTCTTCTGCTGGAAGAAAACATGTATGACAAAGAAGATCTATATAGACAACATCTCCAAATGGTGTCACGTCTAAACAAACAGCAACTGGCTGTCTACCATGCAGTTCTTACTTCACATGAGATGAAAAAACAATGTCTACTTTTTGTCTATGGACATGGAGGTACTGGCAAAACCTTCTTATGGACTGTTATTACCTCATATTTCAGATCACTGGGGAAGGTTGTTCTTGCTGTCGCAGCTTCTGGAATAGCCTCACTTCTGCTCCCATGTGGCCGGACAGCCCACTCAAGGTTTAAAATACCTATTGACTTATCTGAAAAAAAATCATGTGACATTAAAAAGAAGACATCACTTGCAGAATTGCTACAACATACCTCACTAATTATTTGGGATGAAGCACCAATGAGTGATCGACGTTGTTTTGAATGTGTCGACCGCTCACTTCGTGACATTCTTGACTGTGATGATAAAGCGTTTGGTGGTGTTTCTGTTCTTCTTGGAGGAGACTTTAGACAAACATTACCTGTAAAGTCAAAGAGTACACGCGAAGCCATCATCTCTTCAACGTTGCCTCATTCTTATCTGTGGACATCCTTTAAGGTTTACAGGCTAACTGATAATATGAGGCTGATGAATGCAACTGCTGCTCCTGCTTGCCAGTTCTCTACGTCGGATTTCGTAGAATGGATACTTAAAGTTGGTAATGGGACTATAGGTGAACCTGACAGAGAAGACCCAACAAATTCATTTTGGATAAAGATACCATACCATCTTTTAATTCCTCCTTCAAAGAACTCAGTGCAGCTTATGATAGACTTTGTTTATGGGGATGGTGTCCTTCACAACGCATCTGCTATTGATCTTTCGGATAGAGCAATTGTATGCCCCACAAATGAGGTTGCTGACAAAATTAACGAACACATTGTCCAAATGACAGGTAACGTTCACAGGATTTGTAGGAGCACAGACACAATGCAACCTAATGGTAAATACACGTCAGAATTAGAAGGTTTATATCCAATAGAATTTCTAAACCAGCTGCATTTTGCTAACATCCCTGCACATTTGCTTACCTTAAAACCAAAGATCCCCATTATTTTGATGAGAAACATTAGTCAGAAGGATGGTCTTTGTAATGGTACCCGACTTATAGTATCCCACTTACTTCCATCGGTCATAGAAGAAACTTTCATAACAAGCACGTGTATTGGGAAACAAGTATACATCCCCCGTATCAAATTCATTCACAATCCACCAGACCTACCTTTTTCATTTGCAAGAAAACAATTGCCAATTAAAGTGTGTTATGCCATGACAATAAACAAAAGCCAAGGACAGTCACTTAAGAAAATTGGAGTCTATCTGCCACAACATGTTTTCACACATGGTCAGCTTTATGTTGCTTTGTCTAGGGCAACATCTCCAAACTCGATCAAAGTCCTCATAAACAATGATGACAATAATGTCCATAATCTGACAAAAAATGTAGTTTTCAGAGATTTGCTGTCTAAAGTATAAATTTGTAATCATAATATAATGGAAAAGTAAATAACTTTTTTTTTTCTTGCTTAACTAATTCCATAGCCAATAATATTATCTTTTATATACTTTTTGCTTTACTTTATTAATTTTTTTTACCTGTTTACTCCGTTGTTACGAGTTACAAATTATGTAATTCTTTCTAACAACAAGTGTTAACTGTATATTAGTTGAACTATTGAATACAAGATGACAGCCATTTCAGAACTCAAATATGGTTGTATTGGAGGACCATTACAAGTACGGATACTACGGAAATGGAAACCAGATAACCGCCGCCATGAAACATGGTATCTGGCAGTCGACAAATTTGTAAGCTGTTCTTATTTAACTTTGTGTTTGTTCTCTGTTTCTGTAAAGATTTTTTTTATCAGAACTAACTAGCATCACATGTCAATAACCGTATCAGGGAGACACCATTCAGATATTAGGCCAACGAACCAACCAGGGTTATATAGAGTCTATACTCACACTCTCTGACTGTTTTACCATTGATGAATATACATGTCCTCTGTTGGATCAATATCAAAAAATGTTAGAACAGGATTTCTACATAGATGTTGGGATTGCATCCACGATCCAACCAATGCCTAACACATCTATCCTTCCAATAAGTTGGTTTCGTTTCCTACCAAAAAAACAAATTCTAGAGTTGGGAGAAAACCCACCATATTGTCCAGGTACCTCATGAAATCTACAATCATTGTTGACGCAATTTTACATTTTTTTTATGTATATCTCTATTTTTTCCTCTTTCCTATCATTGCTTCAAAAACATTCACATTAAATTGTGTAGATAACATCACAGTTCTTCTCTTTTGAATATATGTTTCTCACACCTACAGATTTCATTGGAGTCATCACCAAAGTGAAGGATTGCAACAAAAAAGATGGAGAGCCTTTTCTATTGCTGGTCTTAGCTGATGAAAAGTAATGCCACAATAAAAATATTGTATATATATATATATATATATATATATATATATATATATATACATGTTCTTAAATCCTCTAATTAGTCTTCATTGTGTATATCAAATTCAGTGGTGATGAACTTGCAATTAATCTTTGGAAAGAATGCACCAAATGTCCAGAGAAGTTTGATTGTCAAAAATTATTGCCTCTCCCTGTAACAACAGTTGTTGCGGTTACCAACCTAAAGGCTTCCAGAACTGACGGTATTATTTCTTCATCTTTGTTTTACATTGGATATCTCTTTTCTACAAAGACAAAACCAACAAATGTACCCCCTTCTCTGTTTATTCTAAACAAGTGCTTAGGCACGGATCTTCAGTTGCAACACACCTCTATGTTAATCCTGACATCCCAGACACTGCCCTACTGATACACCGGTAAACAACTGCCACAAAGTCAACGATGTCAGCATAATCACAGACATACAAATTAGTTAACATAAGTTTTCTGCATTCCGCAGCTATACAGGTCCAACAACACCTATAAGTGAACATACAGGCATACAAACAACAATTGATGACCTCACAAAGAGGACACGTTCTGAGCTTTTGGTAATACATAACCAAACAATTTATTCGAATATCTCCTCTAAATGATTTATATATACTTCCTTTTCTGCATTTTCAGGATAAGACATTCAACCTGAAAGCATCAATCCAACATGTCTTCTTTAAAGATTACTGGTGTCAAGTGACATGTCCTGTCTGTAAAGATCCTATTTTTGAAAAAGGCACCAACTAGTTTTGCAGTGCACATGGTACAGTTACAACACCAAACTTCATGTAAGTTCATCACCTTCTAAACGTGACAACAAATTGACAACTTACCACAGACTCAGTAACACATGTCTTTATGCAGATATAAATTAAATGTAACTGTTACAGACGAAACTGGTGTCTTATCTGCATCCATAACTGATTCTGTCGCACGAAAAATAATTGGCAAAGGGCCAGACAAACTCTTTGCAGAAAATACACACCTAGGTAGACGAAACTTGCCTACCTCTATCAAGACAAATACATCACCTGTAAAACAAATGACAATTCAGTTACTAAGAACCTCAGCAGCTGGTACCATCCGTTTTCTCCTTGTGGATATTGCCGATCTCCAACCTGTCGCCCAGTCAACAATCCCACAGACCCCTACCCCGATAGCTGAAACCAGATTACCTGACCAATACCGTAAAGATTCAATTGGATCTACAACATCACAAACATCAGATGTCTCAAAACGGTTGTCTTACACCCCCTTAGGTATACAAAAAATCTTATTACACACACAAAAAATGTCAATAAAAACTGTCACTAACTCACTTTTCTTGCTCTACAGAGAAACAGCCTCAGAAAAGATTAAGGTCGCATAAAGACAACCCTTGATTGGCTACAAATGCAGCTGGGATATATGCTTTCATCTTAAATCTTTTTACTTTTTTTGATCCTTGGCAGCTACGTTTCCATATGATATGTTTATACCACTCAGTTTTTTGTTCAAACACCTTTACCTGCTACAATCTAACTTCCTCCTATGCCTTATGATAAATATCTCCCAAATGCATTCCATCTTTTGCATCCTATACTGTGCTCTACAACAACACAGATCCAAACATATTCAATAGCTCAGGAGATATTACATAAGCGCTAAAGTAAGTCACTACGATTCCATTCAGAATACATATATCGCTACAAAAAAAGACTAATATTTACGATTTACCATCATTCTACAAACCACATCTAATACGACAATCCATACTAAGAAAGAATACAGATACATAATATAAAACCATCTTATATTCTACACAACCCATAATAAATAAATATACTTCTTTAAAGGCCTCCAACGTATCAATCTTGACACCTCTCATTTTCATCGGATCCTTTCTACAACATAGTGACAAAGTTAAATAGTAAACATACAGTTAATTTCAGATTAAATCATAAATTATCATAAAATTGGAAAACCCAATACCACATTTTCTTGGTTGAACGACTAAAAATTATATATCCTCAATGACTGCTGGGCTAAACTTATGTTCTTTTATTGTTACTGCATTCTTTTATTGTTACTGCACTGGGCCTTTATCCCCAGTAACTCATGTATTGGGCCCAAACTGCTCTCTAAATCCTCTTTGACCAATAAAAAAATATTTTCAGTATCTATGCATTACGATATGACATAAAAGGTTCCAACAAGTACAAAAAATTGACAGCACACCACCTGAAAAGTAGACACTAGGACTTGCATGTCACTATATTCATCCATCTGCACCCCGAGAACACACGTTGCACTTTCCACATCTATTATATTAGACTCCCAGTAAATACAGGATCTGCTTGCAGCTGCACGCCTGCACAGACCAGATTGAGAGAAGGGTTCGTCATGGACAACAAATCCTATAACACCATCGCCACAGATGAACAACACCAAGAGTGTGGTTTCCTAAAAAAATTGCTTCACGATGCAGCTATTGACGACCAATCAATAGAAAACAATCTGGACTTCATACTTGCGACTCTCCATAAACGAATACAACTTTATAAATGTAAAAGTCATGTATTTCGACTATCATAATAAATTCTGATTATGCAAACCAAAAATTCCAATCCCGCAACGCGGGTTTCTTCGCTAGTTATATTTCATTTAAATTATAATAATAATTAAAAAACAAATCATTCTAAACCTGAAAACAAAACCTTATTGGTGCCTTGTCCTGTGCAGCGGGAAAACGAAAATTAGAAGTCCCATTTCCCAAAAAATTAGAAAAACCCGCTTTACTTTGAAAAACCTAAAAGATTAGGGAAAATCACTACAACCCCTAGCTATTTATCATTTCTCATATATTTATTAATCATCGGCGGCTATCATTGCCACCATCAAACGATATGCTTCTCTCAATCAAAGGTATGTGTTTGCTCGCTGTTTACATGGATTTCTTTTCTTTGAATTGATTTGGTTATTTTTGACATAAATGTGGTTATTTGTTCGATTGCTTTTGTGTAGGAATCGGCAGGATTCCAATCCTACACTTCGTAACCCTAGATATCTCGGTTCCTCCTTCAGCAACTCACGAAACCACGTTGAAGTGAAAATTTTCTGGAAATCAACTAAAGCTTACAGCTTTCGACTTAAAAAAAATACTAAAATACCAAGATTCAAGTTACAAAGGATCAAATATTAACTATCAAGCAGCAGGTTAGTGCCGATTTTTCATATATATATATATATATATTTTATTTCTTCTTTACAACCTTAGCAGGAAATTTGTTGGTTTTGATATATCTATTGATGATTGTAATCTGTAATATGTACGTTGCCCATTGATTATTGTAATATTATTGTTGGTTTGGTTTCATGTAAGGTTCCTTCTTCTATACACCTAAAAATGATGGACAAAAGCCTAAATTCTTCAACTGTTATCACTACATTGAAAGAGTTATATGCTAAAACAATGTAAATCACAAGTTATTATGATGTTAATGAAAAATTGATCATTTTGAACAAAAATCAATTATGCCAAGTAAAAAAACGATGCATTTTTGAAGTATTCCAACTTTCCTGAATGCATGATTGTAAGAATTATACATTCTCTCACAAACCGAAAAAGACAATTTGAATGCACATATTATGTAATTATACATGTACATTATGCTTAATGTGAATTTGGCTTTCTTGTCATCTGCACAGTAAGTTGTTTCACTAATATTGTAATAGTTGTTTTACTTTTTAATTGCTCATTATTTGGAGAATGTTTATTTATGATTTTTTTAATAATACAATGGAACTAGCTATGTCAGGTTTTGGTGGGATCCTGATCTTGATCTTGACAACCTTGGTTTGAATACAACAGATTTAGATTTTGTTTTACATTTATAGTTGGTTCATTTTCATTGCTAAGCGAGGGTGTTTGTTTCATTGTCCTATATTTGCCGATATATTTGAACGGAACGATTTAGATCAAAAATCAAGGTGGTGGTGCTTTAAGAAATGTGCGTATCGTGGATCATGTTGATCGACCATGCTTAATTGGTCTGCAAAGATGCTATACTAGTGAAACTTTTCAACTCTCAACAACTAATGTAGTACATAAATACTAATTAATTACTATTCATTCAAGGCTGACAAAAACAGAAAACATTTTTTTTTGATGCAGGTTGCGCAGCTGCTAGCTGGTATTAATGCATATGAAAATCTTCATGAAACAGTTTATCAGTGTGTGGACAATTTGACTTCCTCATCAGGTTATATAATTTAGAACTGTTTTCATTCATATTCTTTCTTACACCATTTTTGTTGTATTTTTCTCTGATAATTTCCCAAAACACCAGAGTTTGACCTTCCGGGAGATAGAGTTTGGCGTTTGGCATATGTCTTTCAGCTAGTGTTGTATGATGAATTCTATCCTAAGGATCAAATATTTGTATTTCAAATTATATTGCAATTGAATGATAATACTTTTTTGTTTTATACAAGTAAAAATTTGTATGGAGTGTTATCGTTGGACAAGTTAACTTTTACTTTTAAGTAATGATATCGTGTTTTCCATTTGTTATCTTAGTTGTCCTTTTAGTATTATATATTCCATTGGAAACTAATATTAGACACTAAATTAGATAGTTTACAACACTGATATTCAGTCTTCGAATGATAGTATCAAGGACTAATATGATATATAAATGGGGTCTTCAAGGAAAGATATTGGAGACTGAACCTCATAGTATCAAAGACTAATATTTAGTCACTGAAAGATAGTATTAGAGACCAATACGATAAAATAGAGATTCTAATGAAACATTTTGGAGACTGATTGATATATTATAAAGGGTTGATATTCAGTCCTTAAAAGAGATATCAAGGACTGATATAACATCAAATTAAGGATTTGAAGAAAAAAAATTAGAGACTGAATAAAATATTATCAAAGACTATTTGTCTGTCTTTGATCCTTTGATATATTAGGCACTGATTTTCAGTCTCTGATACACAAAAAATCGATTATCTAAGACTAGGTCTCAGGGACTAGCTGGGGACTAGCTAAATCAGTCTCTGATTCTCATCAGAGACTGATTATTGATTATTGGAGACTGATTTTGTCAGTCTCTGAAAGCCCTTTTTCTTGTAGTGGTTCCGGGGTAAGCCCAATGTCGGGGCAAACCCGATGTATGTTAGCTTATATGTTATGTGTTATGTGTTTTGGGGTATGCCTGATACCGGGGTAAGCCCGATGTATGTTATATGTTTATGATATATGTTATGCTGTGTATGTCGGGGTGAGCCCGATGCCATACGTGGTCTTATGCCGGGGTGAGCCCGATGCCGGGCAGGAGTCCGATGTCGGGTAAGCTGATGTCGGGTTCGTCCCGATGCAGCCGGGCGGTGTCCCAATATTATGTTTATGTTATGTGATTATGTGTATGGTATGTGGTAGATTGGGGAGACTCACTAAGCTTCGTGCTTACAGTTTTCAGTTTTGGTTTCAGGTACTTCAGTTTTCAAAAGAGGAGCTTGGGAAGATTGCAGCGCACACACCATTTGTTTAGCCTGGGATGTTTATACTCTGATATATTATGACATGTGACTTTGATTCATGACTTATGACTTTTATATGATGAGGATGTTTATGGTTTTATTATTGGATTAAAAACGAAATTTTTGGGCTGTATTTTTGGGATGTTTCAAGTAACATGATGTTTGTCAAATTTTAAGATAACTACTTGATTTTTGTGAAATACTAGTTACTTGTAAAATTTGAAACTATCTTGAATATGAATCAAATTATGTCAAATTGGTAAATGATCATCATATCATAATTGGACTAGTTAATTTGATCCATATGTGTTTTTGAAAAGTTTCATATCTTGTCCTCAAGTTATGGAATATGAAAGTACCTTATTTATGAAACCATTAACTAATGTAAGTTATAGAATTCTAAGAGTCTTGGAAGGTTTCATAACTTGTATACAAGTTTGGAATTGGAAAGGTCTCATTCATGGAACATAAAAGTTCATAAGTTATGAATTTCAAAAGTATTGACAAGTTACAAAACTTACACTCAAGTTTTGGAACTTGAAAAGTTACATTAATGAAAATTTAATTCCAAACCCTATAGTTTTAAAGGTTTAAAATTCAACCCTTATACTATTATAATATTGAAGTTTAATATATATATATATATATATATATATATATATATATATATATATATATATATATATATATTCAACCCTTATACTATTATAAAATTCAACCCTTATATATATATATATATATATATATATATATATATATATATATATATAAGACAAGTCAGTCTTACCGTTAGTAGGCCTCATTCACGAAGTCGGTCTATAAGGGGGGGGGGGGTATAAGGTTACTGCCTATA